CCCCGGGGGTGACAGTGAGGGGGGGACATCCTGGTGCGGGGCCGGGGGGGAATGACTGCGTGTCCCCCCTCTGACCCCGCAGGGGGCATTGTCCTGATCTCGGGTACCGGCTCCAACTGCAAACTCATCAACCCCGATGGGTCAGAGACGGGCTGCGGCGGCTGGGGACACATGATGGGTGACGAAGGCTCAGGTGAGGCCAGTGGGCAGGGGGTAGAGGGGGGGGCACTAGGGGGAGGGGGTCTGAGCTGGCTCCATGCTCCCTCTGCAGCGTACTGGATTGCGCATCAGGCTGTGAAGATGGTGTTTGACTGCATGGACAACCTGGAGGTGCCACCCCACGACGTGAGCTACATCAAGCAGGCCATGTTCGACTACTTCCAGGTGCTGCTGGAGGGGTCCTTGGGGGGAGGAAGGCTGGGGGGTGGCTCTGGGCTGTATGTCAGGGTCCATGGGGGACATCATGGTGGTGGGGTCTGGGGGGATGGATGCTCCAGGCTGCACACCGGGATGGTGGGAACCCAGCGGCTCCAAGCTGGATGGTGGGGTCCTGGGGTGTCCCCTGTACTGGCCGCCAGGACGCAGGGCTCACCAGTGGGTTTCCCCCCCGATTCCTGGCGCTGCAGATCTCCGACAGGATGGGCCTACTGACACATCTCTACCGCACCTTCGAGAAGTCCAAGTTTGCGGGATTTTGCCAGAAGCTGGCAGAAGGTAGGGAAACCCCTTCCCTGGGGGGGCGCAGGGGGAAGGGGTCGAACTGGGGGGGGCTGGGCCTTGGGGCAGCCATCCCTGGGGATGACTGGGGCCGCCTGTCCCTGCCACCCTTGGTTCCTGGCTGGGGACTGTCACCTCTCTGCCACCCCTCCCCGTGATGGCTGCCCGGCCCCGATCTCTGTCCCCGGCGCACCCTTGTCCCTGAGCACCCTGTGCCCTCGCTGTGGGGCGGGACACACTCCGCTCCCCACACACAACCCAACACGGCTTACGGGAGCCGGCTGCAAGCCCCGATGGGTGCGGAGGTGTGGGGTGGGGGGTTGTCCCAGGTCCCTCTCCCATTCCCCCACCCCCTACCCCGTACACAGGCGCTCAGGCTGGGGACCCGCTCTGCTGCCACGTGTTCAACAAGGCTGGCAAGGTCCTGGCACGCCACATCGTTGCCGTGCTGCCCAAAATCGACAGGGTGAGAGACGATGGGGAGAGAGAGAGGGTGCATGGGGTGGGGTGGGGCGGTCCCCAGGGCCGGGTCTCACCCACTGTTCTCTCTCTCCCCCCCCCCACCCCGGCAGAGCCTGTTCCTGGGGGAGCTGGGGCTGCCCATCGTCTGCGTGGGCTCTGTCTGGAACAGCTGGGAGAGGATGCAGGCAGGTGAGCGGAGGGATGGGGAGTGCTTGGGGGGGACATCCTGTGGTCCCCCATGACCCCGACCCTGCGTGTGTGTGTGTGTCCCCACCCAGGGTTCATCCAGGTGCTGGCACAGGCGCGGGAGGAGGCCCCCGACCACGTCTTCTCGCGGTTCAGCCTGCTGAAGCTGAAGCGTTCCTCAGCCCTGGGGGGGGCCCGCTTGGGCGCCAGGAACATCGGCCAGGCCCTGCCCTTGGACTACGCCGGCAACGTGGATGTCTTCTACACCCACGACTTCTAGCCTTGGCCCCCCACCCCCCCCCGGCCCCAGCTCTTGCCCCACAACTCCCCCCGGGGTGGAGGGACACTCTGCACGTGGTGGCGGGGGTTTGGACAAATGGATTTTGTAATTTGGCAATAAAAAGGTTGCACCACCCAAAGGGAAATGAGCCGGGAGCTGCGCGGGGGTGATGGGGCAGCGAGGAGAGGAACTGGCCCCAGCGCAGCCTTGCTGGGTGGGAACAGCTCCGAGCTGTTGTGGGGCTGCCTGAAAATGAAGAAAAATGGACCTTGAAGGTTCCTGTTTTGGTGCCCAAGGAGGACAGGCTGCAGTGGCCATGGGTCTCGGGACGGGGTGCTGGCCAGGCCTGGCTGGAGACTGAGCCTGCTGGTGCAGGCGGGGGGGTCTGGTGCTTGGGGGGCAGCTAGACCCAAGCAGAACAGGAGGAGGAAGGAGCTTGAGTACCCAGGGTGCATGAAGTCATCAGGGTGCTGGTACCTCCAGCTGACCGCAGGGACCCTGATCTCAGCCTCAGTGATGGGGAGAAGGGAGCGATGCTGTCCCTCCATGAGCAGGGGAAGGAATATTTTGGTCAGGATGGTGTGAGGGCAGCCCCCCCCCCCAGCTGGGGGCTCACCAATGGGGTCACCTGCTCCCTTTGCAGACTCTCAAGCTGCTGCTGGGCACTGACGGCGAGCAGCAGCCCCAGCAAAGGGGAAGGCTGTGGTGGGTCCTGTCTGTGTGAGTTCAAGCAGCTCTCTTGGGGCTGGACTTCATTTAAAAGGGACCAAAACCAACCAAAACGAAAGCTCTTTTTGCTTCTTTTGTTTGGAATACACAGCAAGGGGCTGTGCCTCATCTAAAGCACAAACCCGAAAGCTGCCTCTTCCTTCCAGGAAGACTGGATGGGAAGTGCAGACACTGGGACAGGCATGGAGCTCATGTCCCCAGGTGGGGTTGATCGTGCAGGCTCAGCCTGCTATGGCAGCTTGCTCCATGCCAGGCTCCACCAGCACAGCGTCCCAGCAAGGCTCCTCTGCAGACCAATGTCCTCATCCAGCAGCAGGATGAAGGTATAAACCAGAGCTGTTTCCTCCTCCAGCCATTTCAGGCTTTGCCCAGCCTCTCGCAGAGGATGGTGGAAGCCAGTGCTCCCTGGCCCCACAGCAGAGCCGAGGGGAGGGAACAGTACCACCACTGTGGGGGTGAAGGAGGAAAATCCTCCAGCAGCTTCCTGCTGGGACTGACATCAGAGGAGCTGGCGTTAAATGATGACCTTAGGTCTTCTCCAGGCAAGACTTCTGCACCGCGCAGTTCCAAAAAAAGTTTATTTTTAATAACGCATTGTTTGAAATTTACAGCACATCAGAGGGTGAGGGTGGTTTTTTTGGGTAAGGAATCAAATGGAAACCAGAGAAAGGGTGGTGGTGGTGGTGGGGAAACTGCACTACCGCTACAAAAGAAGTTTGCCCAGCATACAGCTGCCCTTCCCCGTGCCCACACAGGCGCTGAAGGCACGGGTTGTACCGGGAAACAGGAGAATTCACCCCAAACCAACCCCTACCTCTGGGCAGCAATATTTAAGATGGGCACCTTCAACTGGCTGCCAGCTCCAGCTGCAGCAGTGTCAGGGTTTAGTGCTGGTTTTAAGACCCGCAGCCAGCGAGGGGAGATCTGTTGAGTTACGGAACGGTCTGTACAGAGAGCAGCTGAGCTAAATCAGCTCAAACCTCTGCTCCCCGTTAGTGTTTGTGGTCCAATAACCCCGGGCCCTCCTGCTGAGCTTGCCGATGGGCGCCGGCGGCAGGAGCTGCCTCGCTCAGCTTTGTTGTGCCGAGCTAATGGAGACAGACCGAGCTGTCAGCTATTGAGTGGCCATTAGCTTCCATCTCTGCAAAGCCCGCAGGGATCTGTAATCCCCCTCCATTAACTACTCTGTTTAAGTAAAGGGAATACTGGAAGTAACTGTACCCGGGAGGTGAGATTTACACGGATGAGCAAAAAGCTCCCATCCACGTTACTAGAGCCAATAACTATTTAAACTGTTAGGCTACGCCCCTCACCGAGAAGCTTCTGCTTCCTTTGGATACAGATTTCTGACCCTGCCTCTCCAAAGGATCCCACTAAGCACAGGATTTAAAATACCCGAAGCACCCAGGTTGATGGTTTGGGTAGCTGAAGCCTGACCAGCTCCTACCGATGGGGAAAGAGGCCCCCAAAAGCAAGTTTACCCGACAGACGCATGGATCCTGCTCACCAACAGCCGTTCCAACAGCTTTGCCTTGAATGCCATCTGCCACCAGAGCCTTGGCAAAGGGGGCTGCAGGGACCAGCACAAAGATGCTGCCCATCACCTTCTCTATCCAAGTTTGTGGGTGCTCCTTGGGACTCAGATTCATCCTGACAAAGGATCCCCCTCCTTTCCTAGGAAGGTTGCTTGACACCAACTCCCCACCGCTCCACTCTGCTGAGAATGGGCTCTATTCAGTTTTCTTGGATTTATTTCAATGAGAACTGAAGGTACAGATGCTTCTGAGCCACAGCCCGTAGTGCTGGATAAGCTCAAGAGTTGGGGGGAAAATTCTTTAAGGTGTTTTGTAGGAGCAGCCCTTCCCTTGGGATGGATGCCTGAGGGGGTCTGGTCTTCCCTAAGAGCTCCCACAACTGATTAAGCAGTCAGGACTCTTATCTACCAGCAAAGAAGCACGTAAATTAGTGTTCAGCACCTATTGGAGAGCTGGGCAGGCTGCTGCTTAGAGGAATTTAGGGTTTACAGTCTTGTTACACTTCACCTTTCCTTTAGTGAAAGAAATCCTGGTTAACGGAAACAGGGAAAGCCAGCATGGCTCCTGGCCCAGGCTCACTGCATCCAGGGTGGGAGCAGGTGAGCAGGGGGATCCCTACAAATTCTACTTAAACAAGAAAACATGACTTTTCCACTAGCAGGTCTGAAGCACGCATCAAAATGGGCCTCTGAAGCAGGGGGAGTGCTGGCCTCGAGGACAGACCTAAGGGCCGCAAGTCCTACAAAGCAAAAACTGCCAAAATAAGGTGATAGACGATACAAAGAAAGAGTTTGGGAAAAAAAAAAAAAAAGAGAGAGGAAAAAAAAATGAAAAAAAAGGTACTTGAAGCGTAGAGCAAGATTTCGCCACATTGCAGCAACTCCGCTACGGCGCAGAGTCCAGCTGGGGGCTGATCCCCTCCCTCCTTCCCCCCCGCCACCTTCCCCCGGAGCCGGGACACAGTCTTTCCAAAGCCTGCCTTGATGGTCAGTACTTCACGCCGGGCACAAACTCCTTGGCATCTGGATTCAAGTTGCTTTTGCTCTGGAAGAGAAGAGGAAGGGGGGGCCCATCAGCGGTCCAAATGCTGGGCACCTCCTGCCAACCATCGCTCACTCCATGGACCCGCACCCCCAGAGGTGCCCTGTCCCACCAGCCGCTTGCTGAGGATGCCACCATGGACATTCACACATGCAAAGCATCCTCCCTGGCCCTCATGTCCTTGCAGGCACCCGCAGCATTTGAGATGCTGCTGAACAAGTGCCAGCATGAAAGTATGTACTGCCAGGCTGAGTTTTTTTTGGGGGGAAACATGGGAGAATCTGCTGTCTCTGTCTCTCCCCGTTCTTGCTTTGGCACCGGGCTGCTCGTGGATGGGCTGTGAGGTACAAGCGGCTGTTTTATCCCCGACCACAGCAGCTCTGTCTGAGCACAGTCAGCAGGACCAGACCAGAACAACCCCCACAGTGCTTTTCCATACAGCCCTGCAGCGTATTCCTGCTTTCAGGGGTGAAAACAGGGGCTCTGCAACACAGCAGCTCTTCCGAGCCACCCAGCAGGTTTCCACCACACTAATTATCTATATAGGCTTGGGCCACTCAGTACCCCTACAGCAGACCTGGCCTCCCATACCTCTCCAGCCTGCCAGGACACCTCAGTTCTGCCCCAAAAGCAAGAAAGGTCCTGGCTTGCTCTGGAACCACAGCCCGGCTCATGTGCAAGTGGGAGCCCCATTTCCACAGCTTCCGGAGAGCAAGTTCTGCACAGCTGGATACTTCTGTCTTTAGGATACAAGGCTAAATGGAGCATCCTTGCAGAAAACTCCAAAATGCATTGTCACTGTACATCAGTACCAGCTCTTGCACTGACACCCCACTGCCACTCAGGAAAAACCCCAAGGAAACCCACCCCCCTTTCCCAGGACAGGTCCTCCGCTCTTCGCCAGACCTCGCAGCACGTCCTCTGAGGTCCTTACCAGAATGTCCTCTGAATTGTGGTCATCACCAACAGAGAGCCCGTTCAGCTGCTGCTGCAGCTGCCCCATGCCCTGGGGCAGGTCGCGCGATGGAATGAACCAGTCCTGGTCTTCTTCCTCCAGCATCTCCTGGAAGCAGCGGTCAAGAAACTCCTGCTCCTGCAGCTCCTCTTCCACCTGCCCAAACATACAGTTAGTTGCAGGAACAAGCGATGCATCTTGGTGTTTTCCATACACTGTTCCCAACTGGTAAAAGCAGAGCTTGCAACGTGTCTACTACCTCACCCTGGTATCTGTCCATGACTCAGAAACACTAAAATACAGCCAGAGCTATATTTCAAACCTGGATGAACCCAGCTTTGTCGACTTGCCTGTAGCCAACTCTAGGAAGTGGAAGAGCACAAAAACTGGCACTTTTGAGTGGAGCAAAGCTGTGCTCAGGCATCGTGTCCCGGCTGCTGAAGACCCCCAGAGTGGGGAGATGCTGTCTGTGAGCTCACAGCACCAGGCGAATCCAGAAGGGAAAGGGACAGGATTTACGGGACGTCCAGATGCATCAGCACACACACAGGATTTCAGGCTGCCAGGCTCCAGCGAAGCTTGCTGCAAAATGAACAGGACGGCTAATAAAATCACAGCTGGGAAGCAGGGCTAGAGGTGTGCATGGTTGTGTGGATCCTCTTCTACGGAGCGATGCTGTAGCTCTGCCAGCCTGTATTTGGCTTTCTTGCTTCCCCTGCTTCTCCTGATAAACACCGTGGCTGTGCTCAGCCCGCTCGGCAGCCCTGTGCTCTGCAGGCACCAACACAGGGTGGCAGTCGGCTCCCGTGAGTGCACCACGGATGACGACATCTCTGCTGCTGGAAAACTCCTCCCGAGGCCGAGGAAAGCCACAGGACCTGGCTCAGGCTCCTGGAGGAGAAACCTGCTCAGGCAGGGGAGTACAGGCAAACGGAGGCAGGAGGGATGGGCAGGAGGAGGACCCAGGGGTCCTGTCCTTATCCTCAAGCAGTGATGTACCATTAGTGTGTTGCATTAACCAGCTGCTCCCGCCTTCCAGGCTGTTTTTCTCTGGATGCTGACGCTGGCAAAGCAAGGGAGGCAGGGAGCTGCACAGCCCATGCTGCTGGAGGCCTCCTGCTAAACAGGCACGTGGTCACCAGAAAATAAGCAGACGGGGTGACAGCCAGAAAACAGCATGATTTTGAGCAGCTGTTATTGAGTCCAAGAGGGCTGAGTGAATCCATGAATCACAAAATGCTCCAAAAAGCTTAAACCCTTCAGTTTCACAAGAGAGCAGAAACTACAACCAAAACTGGCTTCCTGGGGGCAAAAGGGGAGCTCTGTAACCCACTGCACCACGTACCACAGCTCCTGAGCTGGGGATGGGCCAGCAGCCCCTGCCATTGGTGGGCTACTGGGGTCCCACTGTGCCACCATGGTGTTTACGGAGACCTGTCTATCACAAACAGCTTGGCAGGTAACCCTGGTAAACACTCAGGACTACTCACTTTCAGGTTATCCACAGCCAGTCCCCACTACATTTTAATTACACCCAGGAAAACTCCTTGTGAGGAGTTTCCTCACAAGGAACTCCTTTTCTCCTCCTTGTCACTCCTTGTGATGAGCTTTCTCATCAGTAACCAAGCCTTGGACACTGTCTTCAGCCTCAACCGCTGGAGAGCTGCTCTCCACCAGCCTTAGAAATCATGCCTGGCCAGGGGAAGATCCCCCTTACTGCTAGCAAACCATCCCATCACTATCCTCAACCGCGTTTTCAGAGGCTGTCCTTGAAAACACAGGGCAGCAGTAGCATGTCAAAACAGGATATTAATAAAAGAAATGCCCCAGGACTGCTGGCTTGCCCCAGCAGGTGACAATGATGCTGGGGCCAATGCCAGTGCTGGCTCTGAGCCAGGGATGCAGTGATGACATGGGTTCTGGACCAGGGTATAGGCAGGGGGAGATCCATCCTGGACACACTCGGCCCTGTACCCACCTGCTACCCCTCTAGCCAGAAACCATCAGCTCCTTAGCACCACATCGTGACAACCTGAACCAGGAGAGAAAGGGTTTAGTATTTGCTCAGCGTTCCTCTTTGGCTTCCTGTGGTATTTAATACAGCTTTGTCACCTCCTGCCCCAGGCCCTTCACCAACCTCACCTGCTGTCAGCAGAGTTTCTTCTCAGCACAAGAGCCCACCACTCCCTTTTTGCCCTCCGGGATGTGCTGGCTCCATGGGAAAAGGAACGTCGCTAGCATAAATAAGGGAAGACCGTGCCAAGAAGCTTGTGGGTTTCTGAAAACACCTGCCCGTTCCACTTGCTCAGTGCCTGGATGGCAGAAACCCTTGTGGGGGTGGGGAAAGAAGGAGGGGAGGGGGCCAAGGAAGCAGTGTGGCTTCAGAAAGCTGTGGAAGGTGGAAGAGAAAGTGAAGATCTTACAGAAGCCCCAAGCCACTGGTGCTTACATGTGAAGGCAGCAGAAGCCACCATTGCCACTGACAGGGACATGCCTGCTGTTCCCCACCCTGTGCCCCCATCACTGGTGTCTATCCTCTCCCAGGGGCACTCAGGAGAGACTCTGGCCAAGGAGCAGAACAGAGCCAAACAAGAGGCATGGCATCCCATGAATACCCATGCCAGCCCAAGGATGGCTTCTTCGAGGAGTGCTGCCTTCTGACAGACAAAGGTCCTGGCACAGGACAGCTCTCCCTATCCCAGCTGGCGCCCCACCAGCAGACACATGGACTTCAAAGCCCTTGAAGACTTACTTCAGCTTCTGTACGAACCATTTTTCCCTGAGCAGCGTTTCACCAGGAGACGGACAAAGGGCTGAGCTACCAGGGCATCATTAAGGAGTTGAAGCCCAGGAGTGAGGGCTGGCAGAGCAGGGAAACACGGGCGAGTGTCTTGGTGACACAGTTTCCAGTACAGGGAAGCCCTGAGATCTTGGCCTCATTTTCATCCCCTCTCCATCTGCACGTGCTTTTCTCTGCCTCGCTCCTCCACCCCTGGACACTCCCTCTGGCATGGAGCTGCAGTATGGTTTGCTTTGCACTTTGCCTTCATCAGGCTTTTAATCAGAACAGCGCTTTACAAACATTAACTAATTAATCTTGCACATTTCCATCAGCACAGCTGCTTGTGGGGGCCAGCTGCTGTCTAATCACGTCATTAAATAAAACAAAAGCTTTGAGTCACAGCTCGCTAACAATTGCTGAAGTGACGTGGGGTGGCACACGGCAGCTGCTGCACACTCACCAGGAGCTACTGTCAGCGGGCGGCTGCAGTTTCCTCCTGTGGGAACAAGACTTAAGTATTACCATATGGAGATTTTCTGCTGAGAACACCAGTAAAGCTGATGAAATCCTCCTTTGGTGACCAGGGGTGCGGTGGGGACATGAAATCCCTCTGTCCATCTTGCCTGCAGCTCCAGCAGTGCCTCCCTGCCAGTCTCCCGACATCCCGGTGATGAGAATCCAGTGCTTGGCCACACTCGTGAAGATGTTTTAGGGAGGGGACAAGCATCCAGGAGAGTTCAGGGTTTCTGCCCGCAGCACAGCTCAGGGCATGCTCCTTCCTCACCCAGTTCAAGGTGTCTGACTTCTCTCCAGCTACTGAGATGATGGCAGGAGGGACCAGTGAGTTCTTCCCTGCTGCCTCGTGATGCCCTGGCATTTAGACGGAGGCCCAAAGCAGAAGCATGAGGAGAAAACTATGTGGCTGCTCCTTCTGCTCGGAGTCGCATCATTATTCCACAAGCAAAAGCTGTTCAAATCTCACCATGATCTACTGGAAGCTCTTGAGAGCTTAACTGGCCACACAGTACCTAGTGGCCAAGGCTCCTACCAAGTGGTCTGGCTGCTCCCAGCGTATTTGGGACTATTTCACTGAAATGGAGACTTCTACCCGATACGAGAGGTACTAACTGCAGGAACTCATTGCTGAGATAGCTAGGCTACAAATGCTCTCAAATTTCCAGCACTGATTTTTATACTGGTCCTCTCCTTCCAGCTAAGCATGCGGGAAGTGGAGGTATCTTTTATCACAGCAAAGCACAGAAGATGACTGTGCCATCACTGTCCATCTCAGAAAGATCTGAGAGGATCAAAGGCATCGTAAGTTTTTTTTTCCCAACTTCATCCATCCCATGTCCTTACAGGCAGATCCAATATAAACAGGATGACTCGTCCCTCAAGCAGGGCGCCACCATCTCCGTGCAGGGCCTGCGCCAGCTGTGACTCAGACACACTTCATGGTGCCCATCAAAGGACATCTTTTCCTCTCCTCTGCCCTTGCATGTCAATTTTAGCCACAGAAACACAGAGCTGGCAACCACCCTCCTGTCCTTACCTGTCTGTCGAAGTCTTCTTCATTCTCCATCCACATGTACTCTGCAAAGGGGTTGTTTTCCTTTTCATCGTGGCCGTTTACTACTTGGTCCTCTTTGGATTTGGGACTGGACGCCGTTGTACTGGCGAGGTCAGAGCCATTCATCATTACTGACTCTGGGAAGAAAAATATTGGGGTGAGGGAGCTGCCAGGGAACCCTGTGTCCCCCAACCCATGCCAGCCATCCAGCTCCCAGGTGGGTGCTTGCCAGTGGCCATGCTGATGGGTAACAGCTCAGGCTTCCAGCACAAGAACCTGCTGCTTCCACACTGCTTTTCTCATGGCACGGTGCTATTCCTGACTTCTTGAAAGTGCTGGAAGTAGCACCCCACCTCCATGGCAGGTGGCAGCATATGTTTTTCATGGCTTGACCTATCAGCATAGTCTGAACATACTTGGTCTGGACTTAGACCAAGGGCTGACCTGACTGGCAGCTCCTCAAGAAGTTGTAAGCAGGACTTGGAAAGGCACCGGCACCCCAAACCCTGTCCATCCATCAAATTTATTTTATATCTGCCACAAAATACATCAAAAGACCACAACTGGGATATCACTGCAGTCATACCAACACAACAGAAGCAGATTGCCCCCTACCTCAAGATACTGAATTTTTTTGGCAGAACATCCATACGCCAGTTCATGTCCCTTTATCTCTGCTGTAACCTCTTTATTTTTAGAGGGCATTTCGCAAAAGCCTGTTGGTTTGCGACATGAAGACTGCCTTTTTCTAAAGCAGGCATTCAGAGTCTCAGTAGCACAGCCTGAAGGAAGACAAAGCTTAAGGAGTCCCAAACCTCCATTTCTGAGAGGCTCCCAGGAGCAGAGGGAGGGAAGCACACACAGACAGACAGGTGAGACAATAATTCAATAGCAAAATGCGACGGAATAGTGAAAGGTGGACCAAGACCATCAAAACCCTGCTGCAAAACATCCAAACACCACATAATGACATCCCAGCTGTATGTTTTACTCTCCCCTGATAAAGACTTCATCTAGCGCTGAACTGCATCCAGCTCCAGCACAGCACCGGGACACAGGGAGGAATCAGAGAGCATCCCACATGAGCAGGGGCTGGAAAACATGACTTCTTGGAATGGCAGGAGTGGGTTGGTTTGGTCTCGAGGAGGATGAAAGCTGGGGAGCCCCACACAACAGCCAGTTGGACTAGACAAACATTGTAGGTCCCTTCTAATGGAAATATTCTATTCTATTCCATTCCACTCCCCTTTAGGTATGGAAGAAGGTTGCAGAAAAATCAGTCTTTTGTCCTTGTGGATACAGAGGGGTTCTCAGTCTTTGCAGCAGTAGAAACTGGATCTGGAGGGGAGAGTGAGGACGGGAACTAATACCCTTTGCAGGGGGACAAGCCTCTCTCAAAAGGCTCAGGGAACAGCTAGTGATGAGCACCAGGGTGATCCAGGTGTACCTACTTTAGGAACACAAAGACAAATTAGATGACCTCTCAGAGCCTCCACAAGCCCCTACAAGACCGTGAGAGCAAGCAACATCCCCACCAGAGCTTGGTCTTTTCTGTCTCCACCCAGGTCACTGCTGCTGTCAGATCTGCATCCCAGCAGCCACTTCAATCACCTGGGAGCAGGAATCCCACACTACTCTTTAAAAGCTGCCTGCTCTAGGGGCCGAAGAGATCATTCTCATTTTGGGGAGGAATCTGAAGCACAGACAAGTGACAGCTGTTACATGTTACTCTCTGAAAAGCATCCCTGTCAATAACAAAGGCGCTCAGCCCTCGTGTACCAACAGTCTTGGGTCCCCAGGAGCAGCACGGCTTTAACACAACTGCTCCTGGGCAAAGAAAAAAAGGGTGAAAAAAGGGGAAAAGGAAGAGCAGCAAGGTCCTCGGGCTCCCTGCAGTCCTGAGGCGCAGCACGAGGCCGCACTGAAGCCGCCTTTGTTATCTGCAGAGGAGCAATAAAGGCTCCGAACCAAGCACGGAAACATCGAACCGTGCCAAAGCCAACACAGCGGCTCTCCTGTGATCAACGAGACTTATTGACGGCCCACAGCTCCAGCCTGGCAGGAGCGAGTCGCAGGGCAGGCGGGAAGGGAACAGAGCTGCAAAGCAAGTAAAAAGGCATGGAAGGCTTGGACGGGGGAGCTTTCCTTCCCTCCCTCCCCGCTTCTCTCGCTGCCAGCACAGACGTTGGCACAGGCACAGCCCAGAGCTCAAGGACACACAAGTTTTGAGGAGCTGGTGGGGTTCACAGCTTATGTACCACATCTAGAGCTGCGTCCTCTGTGCAGACGGGCAGGATTGGTGCTGGGTCAAACCGAAAGCCCTCCTGCTCCCCTGCTGTAGATCAGGCAGCTGCTGCCAAGAGACAAAGCGAGGTGCCTGTGCTGGTCTGGCAGCTCCATACCCGCCACTGCAGAAAACAGTTTCGTTGGAAAAGCAGCACAACAGGGAAGGAAAGGTGTTTGCAATGTTTAATTTTATGCTTTTTATAAAAAAAAAAAAAAAAAAAAAGAAAAGTTTCCTCTCCCTCCCCCAGACTCCCACATCCACACTCCTCCCTAATTTGGCCGCAAAGAGTCCTTGCTCCCATGGTGCCGGCTCTCGGCAGAACTTTGCAGCTCTTTCTGAACAGCAAAGGGGGCTTTCCACTAGTGTTTGCTGTGGGTGACGCAGGACCCACGGCACAGCCGTGGGGAGCTGTGGGTGCCGTGGGAGGAGGAGAGGCAGAGGAGGGCAGCCAGCCCGACGTGGCGAGGGCGACGTGCTGTGGTTTGGGAGCAGAGACATGAAAGGATGGCTTGTGTCTAGTTTCCCTCCCAGGTTTATAACGCAGCAGTAGGACTTTCATCATGGTTCCCATCAGCAGGACAGGTTTTTCAGGCAGAAGGGGAGCAGCAAAGGCAGCAGCTCAGCAGAAACGTATCATAACAGTGGGGAAGCCCCAAGCACCCCAACATCTGTGCAGAGCCCGCAGGCCCTTGGTCACCCACACGTCCCACTCCAGTGCCAGGAGCAAACCGAAGGGCTCCCACATCCAGTGGGGCAGGCAGGGTCTGGGGATGCCAGCCAAGCTCCGTTTCCTGATTTTGGCTTCCACTGTTCCCTAGCAGGGCAGACAAAGGGCCAGGACCCCTGGGAAGGGACCCCTCTGCCCGCAGCCCCGGGCACACTATGCACCATCTGCTGCAGTCCCTGGGCTGTGTAAACAGACCTGCTGCTTGCCAAAATTAGAGCGCAGGAAGCATTTGTACCTCCACGTCATGGTCAATGCCACTTGTTTACTCTGTCACCAACAGGTCCATTTTTCTTTTTTTTTTTTTTTTTTTCTTCCCCTTCTTTATGTCTTCTTTTAAACACATAGGTGTCCAAAGATCCATCCCCAGCCCCTCTCAGCAGACTCAGAGTCACCCATGTTCATGGTGGAAGCTGTTTCACTGTGGCTATCACACATTTCCCTACCACACTGTTCCCACCTCTTTTGTTAAATTTAAGCCATCCCAAAGCTTCCCGAGCCACCCCACAGTCCTCACCCACAGCCACCCCCTGCTTGCTGAAGCCAGAGGCTTCTGAACAGCCCCAAGCAAAAAGGGAGCTCGGAGAGGCCAGCACGGACATTTAAGCATCACAGAGTGAGAGAGAAGCCCTTCTGCAGAGCGATGCCCCTGTGCTTTGCTGGGAAAAAGAGCAGGCAGCAAGTGGCAGGCAGGAGAGGCAGGCTGCTCCGTGGCACTGGGACAGCCGACTGCCCCGCAAGCTTGTCCCTGGAAGGGGGCTGCTCCTGCCTGCACGTCCACTGGTAATACACCGGGTGAAAAAACTTACCAAACAGGGAGACAGGCACCCAAATCTCCTGTCGGTGCTGGCCGGTACAGCACGAAGGGCAGCGGGTACCAGGGGCAGTACATGCAGACAGCAACAGCACAGCAGAAACCTATGTGATGTACCCCTTCAGTAGCCCAAACACGAATAATAATAATAAAAAAACCACAACAAAACACCAAAGTGGTTTTTTATCTACCATTTTTCACAGCTGGGTCTGAAAGGACCCAAGGTCATGGTTTCCCCTTATTGGCCGGCACTCGGAGCACACCAGTAGTCCCTCGCAGCAGCCCCAGCCGTGCAGAGCCATCCCTGCTTGGAAAAGTGCCTTCCAAGGGTGCATTTTCCAGTCTGCCTGAGCCAGGCTGAATGTATGTTTTGGTCTGCGTGTTATTTATCTGAGTCACCAGAGCAGCGCTGTAACCATCAGCCTGTTGACGCTCTACCAAGTACGCACAGAGCCAGGGTAATTTTGATATATTGCTGAGACACTGCAGCAGGCTTAATGCTCTAAACCATGGCTGTCCATTAAAACTAAAATAAATTTTAAAAATATGCTTTCTTATAATGAAGGCTTCTTGGATTTATTTCTCCTTTCCCCTGGAAAATTAAGTAGATTTAAAAAAAAAGGGAAAAAAGTAATCTTCAACCTGGGGACTGAGAGCTAAGAAAACACATCCAGAGCACACAAACCACCTCCTGTGAGCTCCACATCCTGAGCTGGAGCACAGCAAATCCCAATGAGCTACACCTTGTGGCTGCCTGCAAGGCAGGGAGGCAGCCTGGGAGGTCCCTGCTAGTCTTTACAAACATCTCTTCATCATTCTTAATGCTCCCATACTCGCCTGGGGCTGGAACAGCAGCCTGGCAAAGTAGGTTTTCTTTGGAAAAAGGTACTGGACAATGTGAGCTGGGAAACAGCAATTCAGCCTTCACTTGGTATTTGGGTGATGCTTAAAGGCGTGATGTTTCAAGGCTACAGATTTCACGGGACCTGACACCAGCTGGGGTGGTGCAGTCCTGGGTCCAGGCAGTCCTGGGTCCATTAGCCTGGAAATAGTCACCGAGGCAAATTGATGCAAGTGACCAAAACATCCGAGGGCAACCGAATCAGTGTGGCTTGTGCAGGAAGATGCCAACACATCACCATCTCAGTGCCAACGGCATCTAAAGGAGATGGACCTTCCTGTGTGGACGTGTCTCTTAGCCCCTGTGCTGCTGCGCGCAGATGGCACTGTGGTCCAAGCACATGGCTGGGCATCATCCAGCCCTGCTGCAGAACTCACTGCAGGGCTGTGAGCATCATCTGCCCTTCAAAGC